GTTTGTTTCAATTCCTTTTCTGTTTTGACGGCAATTTCAACACTCAATCTCATTCTTTTATCTTAAAGAAATTTCACCATAACTTGTCCTCCAATGTGTCAATTTGGCACATCCCGGTATTTCCAATTCCTTCCAAGCTATGGTTGACAATTCCACATCTGGGAATGTTTAGTATTTAGGGAGGATGTATATGTAACCCTAGACTGTGCTGGAGGTCTGGACTGAGATAGCACTGAAATCACACACACATGTTCATCAATGTGTGCCTTTCTCTGGAGCTGCACCAGTAGCTTTCATCAGATTTTTCATGGGCCTTGGCCCACAAAAAAAAGTTAAGAATGACCAAGGTAGAGGCATTGGAATGGTCAAATGGTCCCCTGAAAAATACCCATTCCTTATTCTTGTTCAAACCTATACACTCATGTAGAAAGGAGAGTGACAGAAAGAAGCATGGCTTTTCAGGTTCTGCTAGAAACCTGTTCTGCTAAATCTGTCATATGAGAGCCTACACAGCTCAGACCTAGATGTGATCTCCAAGTTGAATTGAGCAAGCCAACCCACAAAAAGGCAGCTACATCTACTATATGAGCAATAGGATACAGCAGATATAATTTTTAGCTATTAGGATGACTCTGTCATGTAGTAGCTGTGTGACCTTGGGGCAACTCTATTCACTTCTCTGGAACTTATTTCCTCATCCAAAAGGAAGGTTTGCATCAGATGAACTTCTAAAGGCATGTGTAGCTTTACCATTTAGAGATCTCCCCCTCCTGGACAGGCATCTCTACAAAGCTCTCCAGAACAAGGTGTGAGTTCACTTTCACTTTCCAGCATCACACAGTCTTACACAGCTTTCTCTTGTGGCTGACAGAAATCATTCCTACTACCACTGCAGCTGGCTGCTTTCATGCTGACAAGAGCTAATCCATACACAGAGCACTCTAGAGCTACTAACTCCAATAACTCTATATCAGGCTCTTCCTCAAACCCAGTTTGCTATGGTTATTTGCCATTGATTGTCAAAAGCTCCATCCTTCTTTTCTGAAAGTTTGCTAAGAAAAGAGGTTGAGAAAATTTACATGAGTATGGGTCAACAGTCACTTGAGTGTCATTTCTTTTGCCTTAAAATTTCCTTTAAAATGGCCTAAGCCTTAACAAATTGGACACCTAGAAGCTGCCCCTGCAAACAGGACACCAGCCCAGAATAGACTTTGGAGCCATTGAAGAGGAACCCTGCCACATGGAGCCCTTTAGAAATGCTCCTAAAAGATAATGAGTGTGAAGGATAAAAGCAACACGCAACTAAACTGAATTCCCACTTCCAGGGTTCTCTGGTCAGCAGGATGTGTTCATATTGATGGGCTTTTTCTAAAGTCTGTGCTGATGATAATTCTGGATCAGGAAATTAAAAGGCCACACTGAAATCTTCAGAATGTGTAAGGAAATAAGCCCAGAGAACTGTCACCCAAGGTTGAATGAGGATACGCCTTTGTAGTCAAAGCTGAGCAGAGAACCAAAGAGGCCTGCCCAGTAACTCAGCAGAAAAACAGGATTTGGGCCTGAATTATCAGGATAATTGCCTTAATTCTTCACTTCCCTTTCATAATAACCTTGAGTTTATATAGAGCCTTTCTTCTAAGGAACTCAAAATACTTGCAGAGATATTATCTTAGTTGTCATCATACCATCACAGTCAGTGAGAGCATGAGAACAGTGATTATTATCAGCTTAATTTTACTGATGCAGGAAGGAAGAAGAGACTTACAGAGGCAAAGTAAGTCATCCAAGTTTATCTTCCATCCAAGTTTACCCAGCAAGATACCGACAACCCAGAAGAGAATGCTCTTGCCCAGCATTTCCCAGAGAGCTTTCTTGTTAACACCGGTCCAGCCACCTGCTTGTTGGAACACCAGGTTCTGTGGACAAACATCTGAGGAATGTTGAGTATTTTGCTCTCCTGGAGAGACACAATATACATTAGGCTAAGAAAGGCTTTTAGGGGAAAAAAAGGCTTTTAGAAGCTCTGCAGTAAACAAAACTGTTTCTGTTCAAGCCAGAATTCCAAACTTAATTTGACCACAAAACTGTGTGTGTCCTACTAGCAGTCTACCTTCTTTAGAACCCATATTGAGAACCACTGGTCTAGCCATTAGACTGATAAGAGTATCAGCACAGTAAACAGATCAGTTCCATTCTAGCCCAAGTTGTAGGGTTTTTTAAAAAAATAACTATTATATAATATCAACAATCAGTGAACCAAGGATCTTGATGAGACAAAAGAACCATAAGGTCATCATCTTCTTTACCACAGGGCAGTGGCCAGACTAGGAAGCAAGTTATTCAAGAAGTCACCTACTTCTACAGACTTTCCTCTCAAATAGAACGCAAGACTATTTTTGGTCTTCATTTAAGGAAGGATAGGCTTGATACTGATTCATGCCCTCTTAGTCCACACTCTTAACTAGCATAATTTTGTGCCTACCAGGCACTTCGAGTAGAAATCATCAGTCTCTAGGCTCAGTCCTGGTACCACTCATAAATCTATACAGCCAGCACCAATAAAACAAAATAGGAGACTCCGAATGTGCCCCTGTTCTGGCTTAATTGCATGAGTATTAGTCATTATATATCCATCTCAAAACTAATAGACAGCACAAAAATGTAGTGCTACTGTATTGTTAATTACCAGGGACACTACCAAAAGTATCTAAAATGGAAAAGTCCCCAAGGATCCTGTCCTGGTTAATTTGCATTTTATATGCAATTCAGGCAACAGATTTAATTTTTATCACTATCATTTTCATATTTTCTCTTGGAATTTATTAAATATCCACAGCATATGGGGAAATGTCTACATTGAAACTGGGAACTTCAATGAAAAGTAAATGTAACACAGGTTTACTTGTCATTATCCACTGGTTATGTGAAAAATTGTGGGTCAGCAATTTTGTGTGAAACATATTCACAGTAAAGGTCATAGATGCACTGTTATTTAGACTATCTGATTATGAATTCTTTTATAAAGCAACAAATTCTGCCATGTGGTACTATCCATTTCATTCATTTGCTTTGCAAATCCACATTCAAAGATATCAGATTTGCTTAAAGCAAAACACACTAATATTAATAAATGAGCTGGACCTTTCTTAAGATAGAAGTGTGTTCTGACCCTGATCAGTCTGCATTACTGGGTCCCTTTGGATTCACCATTAATCATTGTCCAAATTAAGAAAGATTTATTCTTGATTTGTTGAGAATTTGACAGTAATACTTCCAGACTCTCTATAGTCTTATTTAGCTATAACCTCTCTCTGCCTTTATACATGTTTCATCAACTTAGGATGCCATTCTTCACTTAGCTATCTAATCAATTACTTCTTCAAGATTTGACTTAAATGTCACTTTCCCTGTGAAGCCTGCCTCGATCATAGCTCCCATCCCCAGCCACGCACCCCTCCTCAGTGTTCCCACAGTACCCTGCCCATCGCTTGTCATACTCTGTTTACTCGCTCCTATCCTGCACACCATGAGAGCTGAGATGATATTTTATTTACTTCTATACTTCCACTATGTAACACTACTATGAACAACACAGCAGGTGTGTAATAAAAGTAGGCTGTTTAATCACTATCCTTAAAAGAATATTTTTGGACCATGAAAAGCAATGCTTTATTAAAACCACAAATTAAAATGTCAAAGAAGAAATTAAAATCTGTTAATTTGTACTGATCTCTTTTTTCTTTGATTAAAAAAAAATGACCTTGTGGTTTAAAAAAGACAAAAAGCCCTATAAAGCAAATTCAGGACTAATATATAGGTTCATTTAGTCTGTTCCCCTTTCCCCAAACATACAGCTATATTCTTTTTTTTTTTTTTTTTTTTTTTTTGGTACCGGGGATGGAACTTGGGACCTTGCACTTTCAAGGCAGGTGCCGGAACCACTGAGCTAAATCTCTGGCCCCATACAGCTATATTCTTACACATCACAAACTTCACTGTAGTAGGAAGTCATGAAGATCCACTAACTAAAGAGTTGGGGGGGGAGGGTGCTGCAAGGGTCACTGTAAGTGCTTTGGGTCACTATTGGCTGAGAGAGGAAAACTCGCTAAGAAAGTTGGGCATCTTTGGGGGAATAATAAAGATGTTCAGCAGGGCTTCATCAACCTGGTTGGAAATTCCACATACAGAGAGTACTACGCAACTGCCCCAGCTGGGGGGATTTCTGGCACTTTGAAACCATCATTACCCTTCCAATGTGGGCAGAACAGGTTGGACCTGATCTGCCTGCATGTTGCTGCAGTCTGACTTGGCATAGGATGAGACTCAAGAACATGTAATGCCAAGAGTAGCCCAGCCCCGTGGTGCAGACAGACAGACAGGCACACACACACACACACACACACAAACCCACACACACACACACACACTGCTTCAACTCACACTCAGGGAATCCCATGCAAAATTTGCACCATCTCCCAACACACACCACTGCATTCCTGTCCAATCATCATACACTGGGAGTGCCCCTTCACATTCTCTCACTTCCCCACCCGTCCAGCCGACAGCAGCCCAGCCTGGAGCTGGTAGCTAGTGAGGACTGGTTTTTGTCCTATGTAACAAAGCCCCAAGCACCCAGGTGCCCCGCGGGATCAACTCCATCCTGTTCTCCCCGCCCCCATCCCTGAGCTGCCAGAACAAGAGAAAGCTCAGCTCTTGGAAGTGGATGCGAGATGTGGGGGTGCAAAGAAAGAGAGCTTTGGGGAGGGGCGGGAACCGGGAGTCCGGGCAGCTTCAGTGTTCTCTCCCCAAGAGTCAAAAGAGAAGGAAAACTGACACCGGTACCCAATTGCCTTTCCACCCTGTCGCCTCTCCCTCATTTATTCATGAAGCAAGACTGAAAATAGATTAGTCTACCCTCTAGTACGCCGCAGGCTCCTCCCAGGGGCTCTCGGAGCCACCGGTGCCCCAGTAAACCGCAACAAAGCGCCCCCTGCACAGACCTGTTCCAGCCTCTTCGTGGCCCGAGAGAGGGAAGCTGTTGTCGAGGATTCTGCCCTCCGTCGCTGGGGAGAAGGAACCTGGGATGGGAGGAGGAGCAGGAATGGGGAGAGGAAGAAGGATGAGAGGGGATAGGAGCAGTGGCTGCTGCTGCGGCGGCGGTGGCGGCGTTGTCGGCGGTTGGAGGAGGAGGAAGCAGAGAAGGAGGAGGCTGCTTCTGTGGCAGCTGCTGAGGATGCTCTGGCGAGAGGCAGGGCTGGGTGCCTGGGTGTGGGCTCACGTGCGCCCCACGGCTCGGCGATGCGCTCACGTCTTGGTGTATTTAGAGTGTGATTATTCCAATTCCGACCTAGTGTGAAACTTGTGGTTCCTGCAGCCAGGCGGAAGTGAAACCTTTCCAAACTCCTAAGGGGGGTGGGGGTACTGGACCCCCCTTTGTCAGTGTTCTTTCTGGGCACTGGTGGTTTGGGTCCTCACCTATCCCTGCAAACACTATAGTCAAGGAGAGAAGAAAAAAGAAAGACTAGGAATAATCACCATCATCACATTGTATTGAGTCAGGGCTCACATGGTGCTGGGGGCTGTTTGAACTACTCAGAAGATAATTTCTGTTCTAACTGGGATTGACTTTCATGAGTTGGGGTGCCCATATCTTCATACATGACCTGCGTTCTATCTTTTCCCCTGTGTCTTGTTCCAATTCTACATCTCTGTACTTGTAACCAAGGTGGCATACAATCAGTTCTCTCTTCTGTCCGCTCACCCAGTCAGCATTTTCCAGTCCCTAGCTTCTTTAGGGTCAGAGAGTCACTAAATCCTCCTGCCAATTGCTTTCTAGAAATAAGGTACTCAGTTTAGATGAGAACCAAAACTGGTTTTCCACAAATAAGTGGGTTGATGATCATCATAGATTCAGCTGGAGACCCAGTTTGTACATTCAGCTCTAAAGTTAAGAAACCAGTTGTGAAAACACAATTGTTTTTCATGATCCAACCCTCCAAGAACTCCTTGTTTGAGGCCATGGTGAAAGTCACCTTCTCATTGTTGAGCTTTTGAGAATTTTGCTTCATCTTGCCTAATGGCTTATACTCACACAGCACTTTGAGATTTAGGCCAGGAGTGGTGGCATGTGCTTATAATCCTAGCATTTGTGAGGCTGAAGCAAGAAGATCACTGCAAACTGGAGGCCAGCCTGGGATACATAATGAGTTCAACTACATAGTGAGACCTTGTCTCATAAAAAAAAATAAATAAAAAGATTTTGAGATTTACAAAGCCCTTCCTAATAAACAAATTCCCTGCAATAACATTTCTGTGAGTTACCCATGGGAGATGTCATTATTCCTATTTGATAGATAAATAACTAAGGTTCAGCAAGGTGAAGTGGACTTGCCTATATGTTGGTTGATCCAGAATTGAGACCTAGATCTTCAGATTTCAATGCCAAATTTCCCTTTTAAAATTGTATCTCAAAAAAAGAAATTTCAGATTCATTTATTGATCTTCACATTGGAGGTAAATGGTTCTGCAATAGAAGTTGAAATTGTTAACTGAAATGAGACTTTGAATAAGTTATTTTGTATTGTCTATACACTCAAGTGAAACCTTCAAGTTGATGGACAAAACACAGTTAAAGACTTAGGCCTCATTCTCCAACCAGCATACATAATCACTCCTTTGATTTTGCTACCAGTACTGTCAGATTAATTTGAAATGAAGGTGCAGAAAGGACAATGAGAAGAGAATCTATTTGAGTTTCCTATGGTAACAACCTTGTAAATGGTTTCCCCACAAGTTGATCGCCTACTCCAAGACATGAGAATGAATCATTGTTTGTCACCAAGAGAGGAAATTTGCCTCCTACATGCTAGCCTGTACAGTTCCAAGAGTGTGGATATCAAGAAAGACAAACAAGCTAGTGCACTGGACAAAAAAGCTCAACTCTGGAGCCAGACAAACCCTATCTGGAAAACCTTAGAGAGTGGCCCAGTATCAGTAATTCATCTGTAAAAATGGGTATAGAAGTGTGAGAATGAATTAGTGATTCAAGTGCTTATGTCATAGTAAAGTTCATTAAGTGTTAAATGTTATTATTAGAGAATAGAAATGCAATATCTTATTTAATGAATCTTCATTGAGGGCAGAAATCCTTTACTAGCAGGATTGTTTCAATATTGCAAGAACAGAGGAACATATTGTTTTTGTCCAGAACAGGAGAGATTAAATACTGGTGATTTGAAATAGGCATAATAAGCTTATACAGATGAGAGATTCTTTGTAGTTCGCAAGACTAACATGGAACTTAGAAAAGAAGAGAACCAGAAGATGATGACGAAAAATAACCACTTAGGATTAGGCTGTGGATGGAGACCCAGATTCTTGCCACTCATGGTTACTGTGATTGATTGGGAGGATATACTTGTTAACAGTTTTGAAACAATGTACATGTTTTATTCAAAGGGATGTTTTGGCTCTTCTAAACAATTTCCTGTTTATCAAAAGACTTAATAAAGAACTCCATTCAAAGTCTATGAAAAATACCTGAATCTGATACTCAGCCAGGGACTCTCTGTTCCAATCTGGTACCAAATAATCTCTTCTTGTTTGAGCCTTGCCAAGCACAGAGAAGTTGAATCATAACAATGGTTAGAGCCAAGCTGCAGAAGAATTGTGAAATAAGTAAAATGTGTCTCTGACCCTCTTCCATTCTCCCTTTGTGCACCCTTTCCTTCCCACTTCCAACCTCTTGATGTCAAAATCCCTGCATTTCCTAAGCAGAAAGAAAATGACCTGAGTAGTTCATTCACAATGAGTTGTCTTTATGTGCCTTTTTTTCCTCAGAAGAAGACTAGCAGTGGGAGACAATGCTAAACACAACATAGTGCATCACTAGTGAAAGAAGCTCAGTGATTGTTGGTGGTAGAAATGGTAGGGGCTTACAACAAACATTGAATGGGAGACTATAAATAAAACTAGACCTTAGGAATTCTAGTTTATGACATAAGAGAAGATCATAACAGCAAGAGGCATTAGTTATTGTCTCCACTCTAACCCTTTGTTTCACAGGTGATTGAACCAAGGCTCAGAAAGGCTAAGTGACTCTGACAAAAGTACATAACTCCCAAGAAGGAGAGCTATAGCATAAGTTCCAAACACAGGGCTCTTTCCACTACACTGTGATACTCTGTAAACCAAGAAGAAAACCAGGAACAATTGCTTGGAAACTGGTATTTGAGACTTTTTCCTAGGTACAGAGAAATGTCACAAACATAATAATGCAGTCAAGAAAGGAAGGTGCACAGGTCATTTTTTCCTAGCATTTTTTAGAGGCTGTTTCAAAAAAGTTGACATGAGAAATGGTCTATGTGACACCAAGCACCTAAAACTGTAAGTGGTATTAGAGGTATGAGACTAGGCTGAGAGTGGATAGAGTCAAAATTACTCCTTGAATCTTGCATTTTCAAAACAAATCCCTGTTATGAGCAGATTATAATGAGTCACTACTCAAAATAGAGTATCAAAACAGTATCTAGTTAGCAAAGGTTTCTGTTTACAGGGATCTATTAACTAAAGTTTTATTGAAAACTTAAAATACAGAAATGATTTTAAATTATATGACCTATACAAATAGAATATAAAACCCAACCAAGTTTAAATTTGCTTTCCTTTATTTCACTTCCCCTCTTCTTATCTAAAATGTTGATAGTCATTTAGGATTAAAAGATACACAGGGAAGGGAGAGGAGGGAAAGACAATGAAAAAGGAATTCAGATGTGTTATGTACATGCTCCAACTCCACACAAGCAATTACGTATTGCAAACATGTACTGATAAAAAGAAGAAAAAATATGCACAAGCTTTATTAACTAGCTCTCTGTGCTTCTGTGAATGTTTGATATTTTTTATAATACAAGTGTGGAAAAAAGACCTGGTACTTTCCTCTATGAACTGGAAGGAACTCAGCATTACAATGATTGTAATATTCAAGTACTGTTATATTTAAATTAATATAACTTTCCGTGAGGGCTAGGTGTCAATGCATATGCAAAATTTTAAAAATTGGTATGCTTCACAGTTAGAATGGCTATTGTCAAAAAGACAAAAAAATGTTGGCGAGGATGCAGAGAAAGGGGAACATATGCACTATTTGCAGGAATGCAAATTAGTGCAGCCAATATGGAAAACAGTTTAGAGATTCCTATAAATCTAAAGGTTGAACTACCGTAAGATCCAGCTTTCCCAGTACTCGGGATATACCCAAAGGAAAGGACATCACTGTGCCAAAGAGATAGCTAGTACTTCTATGTTTATTGCAGCATTATTCATAGAAGCCAAGACAGGGAATCAAACTAACATCGGTTGGAAGATGAATGGATAAAGAAAATAGAGATTGTGCAATGGAATATTATGCAGCTATAAAATGAAAAATCCTGTCATTTGCAGCAACATGGATGGAACTGGAGGACATTATGTTAAGTGAAATAAGTCAGGCCATGGAAAAACAAATACTACACATTCTTACTTATACATGAAAGCTAAATACGTTGATCTCATAGATATAGAACGTAGAATAGAAAGTCTTACCACAGACTCAGAAGGGGGTAAGGGAAGAAGGTTGATGATTAGGTATAAAAAACAAAACAGGTAGAAGAAAACAGCTCTAGTATCCTATAGCATATTAGGGTGACTAGTGGTAACAATAATTTATTATTAATTTCAAGATAACTAGAAGAAAATATTTGGAATGTAAAAATGTTTGAAATGATAGATATGCCAAATACTCTGATTTAATCATTACACATCATATACATGTATTGAAATGGTACACTAAACCTATTAACATGTATAATTTTTATGTATTAATAAAAATGCCTTAAAAGCTTAAAAAGAAAAAAAATATATGTGGAAAAAGTATTTTCCCAGGCAATCTATCGAATGTTATGATTAGAGAAACAATCAGATTCCAAATTATATTACAAAGCTATGGTGATAAAAATAGCATGGTATTGGCACAAAAACAGACATTTTGACCAGTAGAACAGAACAGAGAATGCAGAAAGAAATCTAGACACAGTCAGTCATGTGATCTTTGGCTTAGGAGCCAACAAAATACACTGGAGGAAACACAGACTCTTTAGCACATAGTGCTAGGAAAATTGACTATCCACATAGAGAAGATTAAAGCTAGACCCGTATCTTGCACCATGTACTAAGCTAAAATCAAAACGATTCAAAGATCTAAATATTAAAACATAAATACTTAACCTGCTGGAAGATAAAACAGGTAAACTTCTTGAGGCCATAGACAGAGGTGAGGACACCCCTAATGACACAAGAAATAAAAAGAATCAACAATGGGATATATGG